AGCCGATGACTTTCCTTTGATCTGTTCTGATGAGAACTCATTGGCAAGACTTTCAGTAGTCGTTGTTTTTGGCTGCCCGTAAGTGAGATAGCAGGATATGATCAAAATTAGAGGGGACATTTCAACAGTTGCATGATTGCAATTCGTGCATAAGTGCATTCGTCAAAAAAGTACTCGTCAACGGTATTTTCTAAATTTAGTTTCAAGTTCAGATCAGAAGCGGCCACTAATTCACCCCACTACTTTGTCTTGATTTATTTGACCACATTGAAGAGCAAGCACTGCACCTCTTCTCGCCACTATATAAACAATAATGAAATTCTACGTGAAATGTGCGGAGTGCAGGTTGTAACTGCGATCATGCGAAAAAGTAAAATCTGATCGGCAAAACATATTGCTCGCCCAGCCAGCAACCAGTGGACTTCATTTATTAGCGAGCGATGGGAAAGAAAATGACCATTCGGACGACCCGACAACATAGATTACAAACACAAATTTGCGGGGGACACTTACGCCAGCGATATGGAGCCAGAGTCGGAGGGCCTAGCAAAGCTTTCCTGGGCATGTGCGAGACTCCTAGTAGCATCCACAACACGAAATGCCCGCAATGACAGCCCGGGAAGCCTCGGTATTGTTGGTATGTTCAAAAGATCATTCTGATGTGAAAAATGTGAGTTGGATATTTGAAAATAATTTCTGAAGAAAAAGCAGCGTTTGCAGTTCTTAACAAAAAAAGATTTAACCATTAAAGAGACAAAGGAAGATTTAACCATTAAAAAAGCCATGAGTTTTTCGAATAGCACATTAGCATAGATATTTTCCTCTTCCTGCAGAATCAAGTTCTTGTAGGGCGTGTAAATACAATTGTGTGCATGTGTGTGTGTGTGTGTGTGTGTGTGTGTGTGTGTGTGTGAATATAATTCTAGGTAAACAGGTTTTTATATAACATTCCTGATTTTCGAATAATGATTCATTACCGTACCCCCTTCCCATATCCTCCCTTTATCTTTTCCATCATTAGCATTCCCTTCTTATTTTTGGCTCCATTTTCCTTCAAACACCCCTTTTTTCGTCCATTTCTGTCTGGCGCCATCTCCTATTCGACCGGAAGGGCTTACATTCCTTCCTTCCCTGGGTAGTCCCAATTCTCCTTATTTAAACCCCCCATTCTTTCAGTTGGGGTCTTCTTCGTCTCAGGGTCACATCTTGTTCCCGGCTCGTCTTCGTTTCGGCTCCAGCTTCGTCATCATCCTCGTCCACGCAGCTTCATCCCCTCATGCACAAGCCATGGCTGTCCTGCGTATTGCTGTACGTAAGTAACTCACAAATATTTGTTATTTTTCCTTTTGGCACTCAAAAAACGTATATCAATCCACCACACTTTCACTGACGTCAAAAACTCAAGTAGAATTTTTCTACAAATGCTCACTGCTTATTGTAATCGGTGCACCTACAGCAAGCGTAATGCTGTAGATAATCGTTTTTATCAAGGCAAGAAATTTTCGCAAAAGCATCACAGCAATTTCGGCGAGTTTTTAACGGCCAAAATTATCACTGTTATTAAAATTTAGAATCTCAGTGGCGACTTTATAGCAACAGCATATTATAAGCAAAATCCATCTCAATCCATTGTTTTGATTCCATCAACCTGGGTACACCAGTTCCTCCGTCAGTCGAACATTTCCTTATTT